ATTCCTGGTTCAACTGATTTTGTGACCTCACCAAATTCATTAATACCTTTGCAAAGTTTTGAATTCCTTGCCTCAAACAAAAGTCCTCAACCTTCTGCTCTCATCAGTAAATCAATGTAATGAAAACAATGCAACTCCCACCCTTAGACAGTCATTCCCAAGCTTGCAGGGCAGAACACACTTTTACTGTTTGTTGGTTTGATAACTCAGCTGTCAATCTAGGAGGAAGATCAGAATCTGTCCTAGATGTTAATACACCAAGATCTACTGAAATCAGTCCTTAAGAAGTTTTCTGACAGTGGAGAAGTTGTCCTTAAATAGTAAAAAGTCGTAAGCATATATAGCCTCATAAATGCTAAGTATTAATAAGTAGTTTAATATCCAAGGTCAATATTGTTTTTATCTCAATATGACTCACAAAAGTGTAATCAACCAAAAATACTTCATTTTACATCCCACGTTCATTTGTGTAGCAGTGACAAGCTGTTCCATTATCTGTGGCTCACAGTGCTTCCAAATTCTGTCATAGATGCAGTAAAAGCAAGACTGACAGATGTGTCCTGTCTACCAAATATACATCTTGGGGGGAGGACAGAAATTCCATTACAGATATTAAAACTAGAATGAAACTTAGGTGTGTTTATGAATCCTAATGATTTCCTGGGAAAAAAAAGTTACTTGCTATTACAGTCTTAGATCATATGCTATCTAGCCAAGCAATATTTTAACTTTCAGAAGCTTCTGTGTTGGAAACAGAACTATTAAATTTCTATAGCGCTAAGGAACATTTTTACCACATCCATTTCTTGGACTCTGTGTGGAAGAAAAAGACATGCTAAAGCAGGATCACAGTATATGATTTTATGCATTAAAAACGTTCATCTTTTCCTATCTTTTTTCCTCCTTTTAGTTATTCAGATTTGGGATGTAAAGGCAGGAGTGCCTAAGGCATCTTCAGAACAATGCCCAATATCCCAAACTATTGAGCAAGATAAAACTATCTTTTTTATGTGCTAGGAAAATGCACTGGTTTGGATCACAATATTGTCCAACAGAGGACATCAAGGTACAGTTTCTAAAAAAAAAAAAACACTGACAGATAAAACCATTTTTGACCTAAACTTTTGCGAAAACCTCTCAAAATTATGCAACACTAAACAACCCACTACAGGTTTACAAGAAGCAAGTTGTAAGCACAAATCAGGACCAAACAAGACCATTACCCAAAATCTAGACCCCAGACATCTAACCACCAGAGATAAAAGTGCAAGAGTCAGATAATACAGTATTTGAGAACCATGAAGACAGCTACATTTAGGTTTGTATATTAAAACCAAATACTTCTCTTTCAACATGCCAATCCTTACATTTGTGAAACAAATGAATGAATTCTATTGCTCTAAAATCTGAGGTACTCTTTAATCAGGTATATGAAGTTCTTTTTAGAAGTTACAATTCTACTGGATTCTACAAATTCCCTTCAGTAAAGGCTAGCAAATGTAATGCATATTACCACATGAAAATACATACACATTTCATCAGCCTTCTCATGCATTTTTAAAAATTCGATTGCTTGAAGAATGGTGCCAGAACCCCCCAAATACAGCCAAAGGCATGATCTTTTCAGCATAATGCTACAGCAGTTGGAAATACAGATCAAGAATTATCCACTTGCTAATTTCATCTAATCTAGTAAGTATTCATTTAAATTGTTCTCTTAATGTAACAAGACATGTGAGCTACATTTCAGTATGCAGCTGTCTATGGAAAAAAGATTGGTTTTAAGAATATGTATCCATGCAGACCTTTCATTGACACACCACCAACAGAATTCATTCTTCACCCCGTCAGGAATGTTGACCTTCACTGTCAGGATCTTCAGATTTTCCCCTCGGTTAATGGCCAGAATCTGAGTGCAAACATAAATGGCAGAGACAGATGACACACAAAATATCCAAAAGATAAACTTATCAACATTTGTGTACGCACTTACTTGACATTCTGTAGCAAATCATGATGGTGGCACATTAAATCAGTTCACAAAGTACTAGCATGTCCAGATAACATCCACAATTTAAACAGAGATTAAATCATGCCATGGCATAACAAATCATACATTTGTGTTGGAGTCTGTAATCCTAATATTCAGTTTATCTTAAACAGATTTATAATACTAGTCCCCATGAATTTAGTTGGTGAAATAATCTCATTTAATAATCCAAATTAAAACTCAAGAGATGAGCTGAAAAGCTATTTCAATTGGAACTAGACATCAGAAAGGGAAAAAGTTAGTCCTGTGCTTCAGGCTTCATTTGTCTTCCTGAGATCTATCAAAATTTTAAATTAATTATCAACCAGAACTTATGACAGAGATAATCAGCTTATGACAGAGATAATCAGCTTAATTCAAATAAATAGGATGAATGTAGTTATTCATGCCTAGTTCATAAATAGCAGAAAACACTGTAGATACACTCTTTACATGACTATTAACATTCCAGCCTTAAAACATGTGCATATTCCTGGCAGTCTTGTATACCCAACTGCATATTCATATTCTAAAGCTAAATCTGTTTGCACATGTGCTATCTGCTTACAGAGTTGCATTTTAACTGCAAGTCTGTGGCTCTGTATTTAAATCCAGGGTCACAATACAAGTGGTGGATCCTGGAGGATACTGGTGGGTATCTACCAGTCTAATCTCACTGTGAAGACATTGAATGTTCACCTGAAGCAGGCCTTATATTATAAAGAAAACTCACCGGATTTTAGGAACAGAATAATATTTAGAAGCAGCTACAAACAAAAGCCACATTTTTAGATTTCATTTTCCCTTCCAACAATACTTTAAAGTGCAAAAACTAACAAAAAAACCTGCTAGAAGTTGACATTCCTGTATGACTACGCATGTTGCTGTATGTAGCAGGCCCTGAGCCCTGTCAAAACAGAGCATTCTGTGTCAATCATGAACTTTAATTCAATCACTAGCTAACTCAGACATGTCACATATGTTAAATACAATGGTTTAAAATGACTCCAGGACATAGTACCAATTTATATTCCTCAGCCTTACTGCTCCTGTGACATACCAGGCCTGACATATCATTGAACAACAAAGCTAATAATAAAGATTGCATGTGAAATATTATAGCATCTGGTACCTTGACTGCCAAAGCAAATGTTTTCATGTAGAGATTAGAAAGACACATTTTAACAAATCAAATGCTTTCACGTTTATTCTGAGCTTATTTTTAAAAAAGAGAGAAAGCCAAATGTCAAGCTAAAATGAGATCAAAATGATGCTCATGACAGAGAAAGTATCTGATAGAACTACAAGGTCCTCATCCAGCACACTGTTAGTGAGGTCAGTATTTGCATCACATTTTTTCCTGGCACTCCCTCTGTGGAATGTCAGTCACCTGAACTTAAAACCAGCTGTACTGCAGTCACTAATATTATTTACATTTTTATTCTTCATCTGCCTATCCTGTTCTAAGCAACATGCATTCAGAGAAGAATTATCATCCAAGATAGTCTCTATTAAGAAAGTAAATAGTCAATTCCTCCCTCTAATTATAGTAAAGGTAATTTTGTTTTGGTTTTAAGTAACAGGTTAAAAATCTGGCTATTCTAGACATGATGTAGTCTTTCAGTTCTAGAAAAAGGCTGGTTTTATCTAACACTGGAACAGATCCAGGGGTAGGGTTAATAAAAACCACATATTTTTCAGAGAAATCAAGAATAATTTCATCTAGTCACAAGATTCATCAAACTTTTTTTGTGTTCATCAGAAAAATACAACATCCTTCATTTTGCACAACTCTTTCCTATGTTGCAGATTTACTTAGGCCCCCTGACTAAGTTTTATATGTTTTGCCAAGGACTTTAATTTCCAATTTCTTTTTTAAGCACAGGATTGAAAACAGAGCACTTGCACCAACCATTACACTATTCATGACTTGTTTTCCTCCCACCAATTCAGTCATCTCTAAATCGAGTAAAGCAACCTCTAAGGCTTTACACAAACACTGAACTCTTTACAATTAATAAAAAAATTCAAATAAACTCTTGAAAGATGTCTTTCCTTAGTTAGGACAGTGTTGGTATAGCTACCCAACTACACCCTAAGAAGGTCCAGTCAGATTTTACTTGCTGCCAGAAGAAGGAACTATGGCTGATCTTCCCAACAGCAAAATGTTCCAGCTGGAAACACCCATCTGACCATGTCAAAATCTGGAGTCAGGTTTTTTAAACAAACAAGCTTTTTTTTCCTCATTTCAGGTTCAGTATTTAAGTTTTTTCAGTCAAACAGCTCAGCTACATGCCAGTCCTGATTATTCTGTGGGCTGTCTCAACACCCAAAATGACACTGGCACAGCAAGCAACCCAGAACTACAGTGAGTGCAATGACACCTGCAGAACCACAGAACCAAGCTGCAGCTTACTGCACACCCCTTTACCTCATTATAAAACATGCTGCAAGGCATGCTCGTGGCTACAAATGATTTGGTCATGGAGACACAGCTGCTTCTCCTCCAGAAAACATGCTAGTCTACAGCCTGTCCCCATTCCCTTGACATCTACACCTCTCCCAAAGCACATTCAAGACCACATCTTTAACCAGCTTTTTGAATGCAGAAAACAAGTATTTCATCAAAGTCTTCAGTGGAAGAGAAACTAAAGACTTTCAGGTATTAAAAGGGATGGTTATAACCCAAGAAAAAGAGACAAAAATGGTAATCTGCATCAGCAGGGTAGTAAAGGTCAGGTAGTAACAAAATTAAAGGTTATGAGAAAGACTTTCATAAGTGCAACTATAGGGTTTAAGCTTAGAAGAAGTGTCATATAAAAAACACTTTCTTATTTCACCATCAAAACAAAAAAAGAAGATAAAAATGGTAATCTGCATCAGCAGGGTAGTAAAGGTCAGGTAGTAACAAAATTAAAGGTTATGAGAAAGACTTTCATAAGTGCAACTATAGGGTTTAAGCTTAGAAGAAGTGTCATATAAAAAACACTATTATTTCATCATCAAAACACAAAAAAAAGACAAAAAAGGAACAGGAAAACTAACCAAGAAGCAACAGAAATTAGAAGTTACAGTAGTTTTACAGAACAGGGAACTCTGCACACTACACGTGTGGGAGATAACCATAAAATGCATTTTTTTCCTCAACTAGTACAGAAGAGCCCTGACACCTCAGTGAAGCACAAACAACTCAGACTTTTAAGATAAATAACAGATCAATATTCGATGTGTTAGAATAGTCAACAACAGTAATAACAGAAGAAATAGAAGTGCAAAAACAACCTGTGATTACAAGACTACCAGCTGCAAGAACGTGGCTATTACTTCACAGGAGAGCCACAACAGGAAAAGAACAAGATGCTAAGGTTAGTGACAGAAGGCAAAATAAACAGTTCAACTTAATCTTAACATCAAAAAGACAGACTAGGGACACATCCTGGATACGAAGCAGTACAGCCACATGGTCAGTGTCGACCAGGTTTAGAAAATCTGGTTCTAGCCCTGGCTGGAGCTAAGCAACAGCCTTCCTTATGTAAAACAGAAGAAAAGGATGCCTCAGATACGAAGTCAATCATAGCACCATCCCAGGAAACAGTTGTATACCAAATGCATGTTGCATAATTTGTTATTCATCATTCTCAGTTCAGGAAAATAAACAGTCTTTGACAGCCAAAATATCCATTCGATAAAGCACCCAAACAAACAAACAAAAAAATCCATACAGCACAACACAATCTCCTGATCCATCTACAAATCTTCGTACATGTGTCATCACTGTGGTCTTAGATTGCTCTGTTGACTTTTCCCGGCCATCTAGAAGCAGGTTTTCACCAAATAGTTATTGATATAAATACAGTAAATGTTCATACTAACTACAAAAAGAACAACTCCAGGTATCTCTTCTAACACCTACAGAAGACTTTCTATTAAAATCACTTGTCGTTATTTAGTCTTTCACCTAACACCATCCATTTTGGGGAGTGGAGGGAGAGAGTTTAAAATTAGCCCATGCATGTTGTGAAATATTTTTTTGAAATAAATTCCAAGACATGCAAGAAAATCCTTTATTAATTCCAAACATTGCTTTAAAATAACAAGCAGAGAGAAAATGAGAGCATATCAGACAGAAAAAGAAAAGCATTCTGCTGCAGAATACAGCAGCCTTCTAAAGGAAAAGGAGATTTCTGGTTGGAAGCAGCTAACAGGGTCTTTTTTGTGCATTGTTTTCTTCTGTTCTGGTTTGGTTTTTGTCTGTTTGTTCTAAGCTAGGTACTTGTGACCAAACCAAGAGAATTCACTTGGTCCTTAGTTACGAATCAGCACAAAGGTCTTGACAGCTACATGGAGTGCATCACACTTCAGTAACAGGGGCAGCTACCTACGAAGTCACCACCTTCTCATCAGCTAGGAAGTTTGCTTCATCCCTCATTCCTTTTTCTAGTCCTAAGGTCTAGGCTTGGATCTTAGGATAACCCAAGATACTTCACAGCAGGGAATACTGATGACTGGCAAAACAAAGCCATTTTTGGCATAGGATGTTCCCATGACATGCTTTAGTAGGTCACTTTCAACTTTTTTTCTGCATCCCTCCCTGATTTTTTTCACCAGTTTCACCTGACAGGTTTAGCATCAAGTGTCTCAGAGCACTCTGTCACAACACTGCAGCAAACATCCAGAAGAAAGTAAGTTTAATCTCATTTGCTTAAGATACACTCCAAACAAGCAGCTTCCACTACCAGTCCAGCCTTACAGAATATAAATTGTTGTTTAGCTTTCTTTCACCTGCTGATAACACTTGCCATGTGCTTGTTGCCAGGGGAAGGGAGGGAGGACATGACACACACTGAAAATAAATCACACCAGTATTGAAATCTCTAACACATAAATCCTTATAAATATTTGGCTAACAAGAACTAATTGGACAATGGACACTGAATAAGCAGTTCTTTGCTCAGTTTAAGACAGGTTAAGAGATTAGGTAAGAGATTAGTCCTGCATTTCAACAGTTTGGAAGTCTCTATTATCTTTGGTAACTGAAAAGCAAAATCAAGTATCTTTAGAACCAGTTTTAAACAACAAAACCCAAAAGCACAGCCACCTTTACCATAGTTAAAATTCTAAGACAGAAAATACAGATCTGTAGGTGTACCTGATGATGCTGAATGTTCTTTACATTACAAGAAAACTCATGGTACAATTGGAATTTATCAATATCTTTTTCATTTCCACTTTTGGAGGACCCTTTTGCCAAGGCTGACTGGATACAAATGTACCTTTGTTGACATCTGAATAAAAGAAACGAATGTTAACAAGGTATTTTAACATGAAACTTCAGAAGACATATTAAACAAAAATGAAGTTTGGAATCTGCACAATTACATCTTAACCCTTATTACCTGCAGAACTGTATTACATATTTGAATGCTGAGACTGCAGCCTGGTTTGAGTTACAACACAAATAATTTTGATCAGTGGTTTTACTTTTCAGTTCAGCCTCTTCTAACCAATTGCCCTTTCTGAAGTTAGCAGCATATTTTCACAGTCAGCATCTGTTTCTAGCAGTGATAACAATGTTTAGAGTTATCACCAATGATCAGTGGACAAGAAGGCTCTTGCTTATACTTGCTCCTATGGAGACCAAGGTCACTGCTAAATCTGGTGTATCACCTTGGGGGTGCAGACAGTAAAAAGCCACATCTGTGGGAAGGAGTGGACAGGACAGGTGACCCAACTGACCAAAGGATCCTATGTCATATTCAGTATAAAGCTGAGGAATCACAAGGGTCAAATTTTCTTCTTCAATGGTTGGCATCCAAGGAAGACTCTGTCCATTTTTGCCTTTGATCCCAATCTGTGTGTTCCCAAATCTTCTCTCCCTTATTCCCTTTCTCTTCCTCTTGGGAAGTGAGAGGGGTTAATAAAGAGTTTCTGTCATTCATCTAGCAGCCAGCCCAGCCCTAAACCTTAACAGACTGACATAATATATACTGACTGGAACATACCAAGAGAAAAAAATTCAAGTAGACCTCAAGAAAAAGAAGAACATAGCCCTTCTCCTGAAGGGAAGGAATACTCATAAGCCACCATCTGCTCTTAAGTTTGGTCAGTTTTTGGTTCACAATAGATTTTGGAAAGTTGCAAAAAATATGTAGTAGTTATCTATTTTATACAAATGCAACAACACTCTTGAATCTACCCAGCTTCAAAATTAAATTTCTTACTTTGAGCACTTAACACCCATAAAAAACTTTTCATTATTTTTAGGAGTAACAGGGATCCCAAACAGTTGCCTGAATGCTCCTCAGGACTGTTATACATATAACACTCTATAACTCAACAGGATCCACCTGTAGAGCACTCCATATCCAATTCAAGTGCTTCTAGTGGACAAAAGAAAGTCATGGTATGGTAGGGACAGCACATCCTTAACAAAACAACTCCATTGAAATTATCACATTACTGTGCTCTTGTCTTTTGATTAAGTTGGCCATTGTTCACAATATGCAGCAAACAAGGGTCAACTAAACAGAAATGAGCTGATTCAAGCCAACATTGTATGCTGCTATGATGATACCCATTCTTTGATAACCTGCTTCTCTATCCCAGATTGTACACAGCAGAGGAAAACAAAATAACAAGCAATTATTGCTCTGTCACACCAATCCCTCTGACATAACAACCTTCAAGTCATGCAATCTAAGAAAATTTCTATTCAGCTAACAAAGTAAAAGAGTCAATAACTCCTGCTTTAAAAATAGTCATATGTTTGCCACATTGAGTACCAATGCCAAAATCAACCATCACTGCATGCTAATTAAACTGACTGTTATCAAACAGTAAATACTGAAGCAATAGCTTAAACAGATGCACCTCTGTAAAGTTACAGCTTGAAGGACGTGTAAGGAAAAAGAGCTTTCCTTTATACATCACTAACTGCAAGGAGATTGGCTCTATACAGAGCTGAGCCACAGAGAATACTTCAGTCTTGGGAAGTCACAGCACATCTCTCCTCCACTGAGAGACAGATGGGCAGAAAGGCTAATGAAAATACCTCCAGCCCAAGTGAAGGTATGGACCTAGATTAATTTCACAGTAACACTCTTTTTACATAATTAAAAAAGTTAGTATATATCTGCATGTTAGGACAATGAATCTTACCATGTAACCAGGAGAAAGAGTCAAACTTACAGTTTCCTGATAAAATCCAGTGCATCTTTGTCTTTAGCAAAGATGTCAGCTAATATGTGCTGTACTCCAGCCTCTACTTCCTGGATAGTTGAAAGCCCTTAGAAGAAAAAACAGTGAATAATTATAAAAAAGCCTAACATGAAAAATTACGTTGGACAACTGCACAAGCACTAAGAAAATACATATAAGCTGGAAGAAAATTGATGCATGGCCTCCACGACCTGCATTAGCAAAGATGTCAGCTAATATGTGCTGTACCCCAGCCTCTACTTCCTGGATAGTTGAAAGCCCTTAGAAGAAAAAACAGTGAATAATTATAAAAAAGCCTAACATGAAAAATTACGTTGGACAACTGCACAAGCACTAAGAAAATACATACAAGAAAATTGATGCAAGGCATCCAAGACCTGCATCATGGTTTCAATGATTTGCAAAGGTTTCAATGAATTGCAGAAGTTTCAATGAATAAAAATATTCTAATGAATAAGAGTTATTGACTAAGCTTCCTTTACAAAGCATTTAAAGCCATTACATTTTTAATGAGCTTAAAGTGACCAGTGCAGTATAAGTCAAAATGACATTGAAAGAAAATTTTTTTTTTTTCACTTTGATGCTAACAGGTCTTGACATTTATGATGCAAATGAAATAGTAAAATTGGATAGTCGAGTATAATTTTTGAGGTTGTACTAAAAGAAGTAATAGCAGCAGAAGTTTACACGTTTTGCTACTGATGTGGAAACTGCCTGTAATCTGTGCAGGCAATCCTGTCATTTCTCTGTGCAATAGTTTTATATTTCCACTGGTTTGTAGGAGGAGTTTGCACAGTGACACTTCTGAGGTCAAGGTACCCACTCCCAAAAAACTCTGTTCAAACAGTGAAGTTATAAAATGTCTCCATAGACAAAGTATTCTAGAGAGCTGATAACAGAATCATTCACCTTTCCAACACACAGAACCACCCCTCACTTGCAAAGACTGGAGAAAGTGGCACAATATTCTCCTTAGGACAGCAGTTCCATTGGATCAGAACCAGAAGGTAAAGAAAAAAACTAAACACCTTGTATTTTAAATCAATGCATCTAACCACGTTTCTAGCAACAGTCAGGAACAAATGCTTCAAAGTAAGAAGCAAGAACCTTGGAGCTGGCAGGTGCAGAATCAAGAGTCTCTTTAAATACACATTTTTCAGTCTGCTGTCTGATGAACTACTAATCTTTCCTATCTTTCAATATAAGAAAGAGCTTTATGAACACCATTTAAAAAAAACTGCATAGCTTTAATAACTAATACTTATATTGAATCCAGAACACTGCTTCTGACTGGGCTATGGAGTTACATACTACAAAAAAATAATTAATCTTGCCCTTTGTTTTTGTAGAAGGGGAAGCTAAAATTACCTGCCAGAAAGTGAAAAATAGATTATTAAGTGCCTGAACTGACAGGAAGTTGTGGAATTTGGATCCTTAGATCTACAAGTTAGTTTCTTGTGGTAAAAGTAATGTCATGTCAGAACACAAAACTACAGGGAATTATAAAACATACATTATGTTGAATATGAATTGAGACACTCAAGTGCCAGAAGTGTAAATGGCAATTAACCCTATCAGAGAATTTGAATGAAATGGAATAGACCAAAATCTGTCAGGACTAAAGGAATTATCATTCAACAAGCACCACTCACATGGGCCTTTTACCATGTCCATTGCAAAAGCAGCACATGTTTCTGCAACTAGAGAAATACTGGGCCATGTATACAACTGAAAGGAAGAACAAAGATTTCAGGTAAGCCTGCTTCCTTAACTTTCAAATGTCTGGCTTTGAAACATGAACTGCTGTTTTTATTTCAATTTATTTTTAGCATAACTTTAAAAGAAATGGTTACTAAGATTTGAGGAAAACTCTGTACAGCAATTGGTTCATCCTTTTAAAAAAAAAAAATCATTCAGATCTCAAGCTGTACATAGGTTGTCAAACTGGTTCCCAAGTTGATAGAAGTGACCCAGTTCATTGAAGTATGTAATTTCTGATGTGTCTTTCAAACAAAAACCATTATATAAACCTAAGCAACATTATTTTTAGCACAAAATTGGTAACAGGTGTACTGATTTTCAAAAACTGAAGTGTTTATGCTGCAACAAATAGCACTGCCTTCTGAATGAACCCTAAATAATTTATTTCAACTTTCACTGTGAAGATTTTCTTTTGGCTCCTCAGACTTTGCCAGAGTAGGCAGATATAAGGTTGTAATACACTGCTGTATGAAGTAATGACATATGCTAAAATGCAGTAATTAGAATATTTGGTAACTGATCTTCCATGTGAAATTAGAATCATTCTATAAAAAATATTTCAATAAAAGAACGACTGAAGTGGGAAGGGGAAGACGCAGCCTCACTAAGGAGGTTCAGCACCTTTATGTTAAAATTCAAAAAGTAAGTGTTGGGGCAGGGAAGAAGAAAAGGACTTCTCTACTTTAACACATACAGAAGGTTGCAGCAACCTTTCTATTTTATTGTCAGAGATTGCCCCCTACAGATTCACCCATAACTGCATTCACAAAGAAACAATTCTGCAGTCTATATGTGACAACCACATTGTTAAAGTTCCTACTCAAATTTCAGAGATTACATCTTCTCCCTTGCTGGCATTCAGTACCAAAAACTCTCCCACTCGCTCCCAATTACCAAGGCCAGTTTTAATTAAGATATGCTTCAATGGGTGACATTGACTTCAATACAGATTATATGCATAAACCCAATTGTACAACTGGCATTGAATCTTTACTAAAAAACTCAAGTAAGAGTAGAACCATGGTGAGGTCTCAGGTGTGTGGTGCAGTTCCCTCTCTTAGCAGTAAATGAATGTCAACTGTAACACCTCAAGACTTAGGTCTCTTGTATACCACAATTATCACTATTTACAATACAAAAAGACAGTAAAAGCTGGAAAGCCATGGCATTCAATGCAAATTCTTACTACACACTGCTAAATAAGTAGTTGAATTGAAAATAGTTGTGTAGCTTCCAGCAACATCATAAGAATGAAAGTCATTCCCTTTTCACAATATTTTTAGACATTTAGGACACTACTGCTCATAGAAAGAGAGCACTTACCTTTGATATTAGGTCTAATGTAAGAAAAGAGATTGAGTTCCATAGGATTCTGCAGGAGAGCAAGTGCAGCAGGTTCCAAACCCAGCTGCTTGGCCCTCTGGGCTTTGGTGCCTTTACTCCCAGTTTTATAAGCTGCAGACTTAAAACAGAAAAAAAATGTAATCATTAAAATGCAATCAAATATTTCAGTCATGCTATTTTGCATTATGCACTATTTAGTCAGCAAGATTACATTTAAACTAAGGGTGATCTGAAAAAGACTAGTGTACTGACCACATGATCTAATTCTTCCAAAGTTCTGCAATTTAATAATGCTGTTAAAAGGCATCCAGTTAATTTTCCTTCTTTCTTCAACTTCTGTATCGTCGTATGCGTCTTTTTTGCGACAGTACTAAAATGCAAGAGCTAGATATTAACAGTCATATTTCATGGTGGATTAAAAAGGCTATTGATTGTGACCTTTAAGACACTGCTGAAGCCCTCTGAAACCCCTGAAGATTAATCTCCTGTTCATCCTCAACAGACCAAGTGTAATAATACAAAAGCATTTTTAACTATTACTCGCTCCAATTGGTTCAAAACTATTAAAATATATTGTGGAAGCTTTAAGAAAAGCCATCAAACAATACTGCTGGTCATTACTGCTATATACATTTTTGCAAGACTACTGGCCTAGAAGCCAAATAAAGAGGCTCCAAGTTAAATGAACACTGATGAGTACTCAGTACTGTAATTCATATCAAGACAGTTCTGCTGCATCAGAGAGTACCAGATTTTAAACTCTTAGATATTCAATAAGATATTTCTAAGCAACTGCAAGCAGCAAAGGCATTTTGTTATGATTTAGACAAGAACTCTCTCAGGCCACTTTCCCCTTTTTGGAAAGAATCTCTTGCTAGAAAACAGGGGGAAGTACAAGGAGGAAGACATTTTGAGAAAACAGCTAGCAAGTCTCTTCCCTTGTCTTCTCAAGAACATATAGCCATCCAAACCCAAGGACTGAGAGCAGTTTTACTGGATTGGGTCTGCCTGAGCTGATTTTCCCATGGCAGCCCTCCTGGAGCAGTGCTCTTGTGCTGGGAGTTAGAGGGCTGTTGGTAACCACCACGTTGTGACTGCTGCTGAGCAGTGCTCCCGGAGCACCAAGGCTCTTTCTGATACTGCCCCCCACAGTGGGGTAGACAGGAGCTTGGGAGGAGTCATAACCAGGACAGCTGAAAACAACTGACCAAAGGGATATTCCTTACCATACAACATCTGCACAACTATAAAATAGTAAAAAGGAAGAGGAGAGGGGAGGGGACACCACTCCTTGATCCTCCAGAGCAACTGCTACGGATTTTGAAACCCTTCTTCCTGGTAAGGGGCCAGACATCACCTGGTGATGGGAAGTAGAAGGAATCTTTGGGTTTTTTTTCCTTCACTTCTGCACACAGCACTGCCTGGCTCTGCTTCTCCATTAAAATGCTTTTGCTTTTACCCATAAGGGGCTTTGTTTCCATCTTTCCTTTCCCCTTTGGCTCTACAGAAGAGGGACAGGAAAGGGAGAGGGTGATGGACTGGCTTGGTGGGCAGCTGGTTCTCAGCCAGGGTTAAACCACCACACTCATCCATGGCTGCAGCAGGCTTTGCTGATGATTTCTTTGCTGCAATGGTGTGGGATATTTTAGCCTGACTCCCTGCTCTTCACAAGATGCTTTGCTGCTCCAAGCAAATAGAAAAAGGATCTCAAAAAATCCCTTGGCTAAGGATGCAGCTTACATCTAATCAGGCTATATAACTCCAGAACCTATAAGCTACGAATAAGAGGGTTTTCTCTGTAGTTTTAGTAAACTGCAAAGAAATTCATGTCTTAATTTTCTTTAGCAATTAATAATGCCAGATTTCTTGTTACTTACAGTAACAAGAAAAAAAATCAGACAGGCATCAAGCATAACTACCTCACTTTTAAACATTCTTCTTTCCTAGTCCCTTTAGAATTGCAGTGTATACAACATGCCAGGACAATGGACACAGAAGCAGCAGCAGCCAGTTGTTACCTACCCACCTCCAGACACCACCTTGTTTTAATTACTCACCGTAGCTCTTCCAGTGTATGCTGCACTTCCCTCAAGGCATCAGCCTCCAGATTATTGATGAGCTCTTTTCGGTAGCGAGCAATAAAGGGGATTGTGTTTTCTTCTTTAAAGAGGCGAATCAAGTTTATGCACACCCAAGGTTCAACACTTGTGATTTCTGACAAGGCCTGTAAAAGGGAAAAAAAAGAGAGGTGGCAGACTGCTTTCAACAGCCTCTCACTCCAAATCCAAAACCACCCCTAGATTATTATGTTGGCTAGCAGGGACTGCTGTCCTCCCTATACAGGATGCCAGGCTTCCCATGGATCCACCCACCACACCCAGCAGTTCAGAAAGACTTGCAGCAACCAATGCCTCCAGAAACTTGTAACTACAGGGAAAAATAATGCAGGAAGCAGTGGCTCTTGGAACAGGAGAAGGAAAAAAAAAAAAACAAACCCACACAAACAAAACCAATGCAAAAGAGTCAGAAAGACAAATCAACTGCACATGGCAACACAGAAAACTTGGAGCTTTTTTTTTTAAATCAACGCTGGCATACCTCATGGCTGAAACAAACCCCCTAGATGATCCAATGATCCAAATCCCACTCCATGAATAACTGGAAACTAGCATATTACTACAGGTTTCAAAATGAAACAAGCCTCACAAAGTTAAACATGATTTTGTACAAATTTGGCTTCCTAAAGTTAAAATTCCGATGTATCAACAAGGAATCAAGGACAGACTAGGGAAGTACCTTAGCTTAGAAACATTTTAGTCATCATGGTTTCTTTTTACTTTGCTACAGTTACCAGCAATTTATGGTAACATAAAAGCCTTTCACAAGTCTCATTTGGAAGCCTAGAAACCTAACAACTCCTGCACAATCATATTCATTATTTCTAGAGCAGCAATAAAGACCAAATTCTCCATCTGCATTTCCAGGAATATTTTACAAGACTCAGGAACAAAATTTATACCTTTCTGAAGCAGTCAGTACTAAGAATGATGAATAGAATGTGTCTAGTATATTCCCATTCTTTTCATATTCAAATCTTCCATAACCACACCCAGCCTCCCAGAACAGAAGCTACCCTAAAACTGTCTTCACTTGAACAACTTCAAAGTTAACATCCTAAGAAAACAAAGATGATAGCTCCCTTGATGCCACTGTCATTCCAAGAATGGAATCTCCTCCTTGATGGTACTGTAAATTGATAGATGCTCTCAACTGAGTCTCTACAACAAAATGATCCACAAGAACTAAATACTCAGTTTTGAAAACTGTGTACACAGACATCCAAAATCTTTCAGTATCCTTTCCTGCAGGAGTTACAGTTGACCATATCCACAAAAATATAAAGAGAACATCTACATCTTGCCTGTAACAGTTTGCACTAAGGACTGCTTAAGTCACAGAGAGTAGAACATTAAGTTTTGAAGTTTTACCCATTGACAACCACCATTTATATTTATACATGTATTATGATAATTTAAGCAGAGGTTCAATGACTATTTAACAGCACAATGACTCTGACACTCCAACTGATGCCAAGAGGACTGAAATTGTACGTTAATGTTCTAAATGCTAATTATGTAGGAAATGTTTTCACTGATACCTCAGAAAAGGAAAAGATCTCATACCTGTACAATATCCCAGTTCATTTCAAATTCTTCTTTTACTTTGTTGCCTCCTAGATTTTTAGCTGGCTTTCCTTCAGGACACTTAGTCAACTTAATTTTTTTAAAAGGTGGCTCATCAAATGCAAAATCCTCCTCAGCTTTCTCATTTTTCACTTGATCTCCCACTACTAGAACACTTGTTGAAGGCTTCTCATCACTCTCTAAACTCTTTACATTCTTCTGTTGGATTGAATTTCTTTCTCTTTTTTTAGGCACTTCTGGCATTTGATTTGAAGTTTTTGGTTTAGTGCCTACATCTTCTTCCTTAGTTTTTAGAAGGTACATTTTATTATCTTCTCCAGGAGGAATAGGCAAGGATGCATCCTGCCAAAAAGGCATTGAAACCACATTAAACAGTGACTGTTAAAAACGTTACAATTCAACATTTCAGTTAAAACTTAGAAAGACCTGACACTGGACATTTTCCCAAGTGATGTCTCTGGCAGGGAAGCATCAAGCCAGAAATTAAGCAACCTGAAATACATCTTGCATGAAGGAAAAGATACAAACATACCTAGCAGATCTGTGATTTAAAAGATCAAATAAAATTATCCCAGAAAGTCTTTTATCAGGTTCTCCTTTGGAAGACACTGACTTACAGTCCTTGCCTCCACTCACCTCAACAAAATGAGGGAGAGCAGAGCACAGAAGCACTCTTCTAATGAGGCATTAGGTGCAGCATAGCAACTGGAACTGAGATTTAGACTGCTAAGCTATTAACCTTGAACAAGCCACACCTTTTCTGCATTTCCTCAGAGATCATCTTCAGAACTCAGAAGGACTGGCTTCTGTCATGACTTGACCTCTGATGATAATCTTTGACAGAAGTACATAATTTCTGATAGAAATGCACCTTATTTTCATCATAATATAACTGCAATCCTTCCTAGAGTTGAACAGCCATGCAAGGAAACACGAGTACAGGCTTTCTTTTTGTTGTGGTGCCCAGCTGATGAAAAGGTAAAAGACATCAAAGGTGCAACACAGAAACCAGAGATATTAGAATGCTTAGTTGTCATTACAGAAAGAACAGAGATGTTTTCTTGTTATTGTCATTGAAAGAGACCTCCAGGGAAAACTATGTCCCATTACCATTGGCCAGAACTTTAGAGAAGGGCCCTTTTATCTGGGACACTTAAATATGTCAGAAACCCACATTTATCAAACACATGGAACATTCACAGTAACAGTGGAAGCAGTTGAGCTTCTCGATCAGACTCTGGCAACTGACAACACAGAAACCAGAGATATTAGAATGCTTAGTTGTCATTACAGAAAGAACAGAGATGTTTTCTTGTTATTGTCATTGAAAGAGACCTCCAGGGAAAACTATGTCCCATTACCATTGGCCAGAACTTTAGAGAAGGGCCCTTTTATCTGGGACACTTAAATATGTCAGAAACCCACATTTATCACACAGAACATTCACAGGAACAGTGGAAGCAGTTGAGCTTCTTGATCAGACTCCGGCAACTGAGCAAATCAGAGTTGGAAAAACTCTCATGTTCCTTGCCAACCACAATAATTAAATGTCTCTTGCTTACAGATACTCACCATTTCCTCTTTTATTGCTACCTGCTTGACCTTTTTCCTGACCACAGCTGACCGTGAAGAAGCAACCTTTCTAGGTTTTGCCTCATTTTTCTTTGGCAACCGAGGTCTCTTGGCCATTTTGCTTTTTGGCTCCCACTCCTCCTCTTCCTCCTCTGATTCAGAGCTCCTGAAAAAACAAATGAGTAAACACTATTGCTTACAAGAATAAAGCAAAAATACCTAAGCAAGCCAGTCTGTGTGTTTTATGACATGAAAGAAAGTGAACAGGAAAAATAGGCAGGAAGGCAGGCTGACTCAACAAATACAGGTCTTCTGCACTGTTGCAGAGCTAGTGGCTGGAACAATTTAAGTTGGAAAAACTAAGTGGGTCACAGGGATAGGTGTATACACATCTGATTCTGTTTGGACAACTGGCAATTCAGTTTAGTCCTATATCCACTGTGAGCATGAAAAGCCCAGGTAATTTGTGGTTTATAATGGAACAGAAGTTTTGTGCATTAAAACTTGTTGATCAACTTCACGCTTTGCATAAACCTTTTAAAAACTCCTAAAGAATAAAGTAATCTTACGAATTAAGAAATGAAGGGAGTTCATCATCTCTTGATGTAAGGGATTTGGCTTCAGATTTCACCCTCCTTGGTAGAGTTGACATCTAAAACAGAAGTGAGAAATAGGACATTTGGTTGAAGTTGTATTCTCTTAGTCATCCCTTTATCTCACTGCCAAGCGTGCCCTCATAATGTCTTCACCAATCACATAAGTTTCCTCTAGAGTAAGTTTGGATTCCTTAGTATCCAAAAATTTATGCCACAGCACCTCACATTCAACAACCTTTTCAACTGAGCAAACAGACAAACCAGCACTGTGGCCTCTCAAATTATTTTTCTCTTTCAATAGCAGTAACTATTTGGCTTGGAGGGAAAGCTATCCTAGCAAAAAAAGAGTACTGGTCCTCAGACAATAAATGTTATTGTTGTTTACATACTAGACCAGTATTTCCTCCACCAATCTAAGAAGGACAGAAAATAAAATTAACATCTAGTAAAGCAAGCTAGCATATGGCTTTGATGTGAAAGGGGCTACAAGAAGATTGTCCATTTTGACCTAGAATTTTACAACTAAAGACTATCCATTGCTTATATGCATAATAGAAACGATTATTTTGAAGGCCTTTAGAACATAGAGTGCATAAAACAATTACCAAAGGTAAAAAGGGAAGGCATAGACTTTCTCCTGGCCTGAAATTCATACCTACAATGGCTGCATTTTCAGTTAATCAATTATAGAATTTTTGGCAATGGTTGGACCCATTAATTTCTGTAATTATATTTGGCAGTTTTACTTAAAGAATTTTAGGTACCTTCAAAATTTTACCTGCCAGAAAGCTAAAAAAAAAAAAAAGTAATACATTTCTACAGCTATAAAATTCATCAGCATATTTTACCTGTATCTGCTACAAATTCATCATTCTTCACATTCTATTCTCCAACTTTTCATACCTTGACCTTTGATCCAGCCTTTCCACTGCGATGTGAGCCTTAAAGTCCCATGATTGCACATACAAACCAGACAAAGCATTTTACAAAGTGCCATTTAACTCAAGGACAAAATGCTCTTTAATCCAACTTCATCCTGGGCTCCATTCAGGTACTAGAAGCATAACTACCATTATAAATGGCTTTCAGCAAGTTTCCCTTGTAAAGCAGTACCAGAATTTAAAGTGACAGTTTTCAGCACTGCAGCAGGATGATGACTATTGAGGAAAAAAAAGTCACAATAATTCCCTGCAAGTGAATTATGACCAAGCTACAACCATGTCCCCTTGTAAACTTCTATACAAACTAATTATACTTCACATTTTTAGAAAAACTATCTCACAGTTGCTACATATATTTGTTTTGTTTACAAAGAATAATTTTTAATTCAAATGCACAAAAGTACTTCTGATTTGGTTCCAAATTGCTAGACAGCTGTCTACTAAATTTTCCTTCTGAGCTGCCTGCACTAGGGTGTGCTAACACCTACAGTTAATGACTAAGAAAGTGTCCTCCTGTGAATCACTGTGAGCTGGGGGGAGGCAGGGAAGAGGATGAAAAAGCAACAAGTCTAAATGCCAGTGAGGATGATGCATAACTATGACAGATTATTTTTTTAAAAAAAGCTTAGAGACAGTCCCTCAAGTGAGGCAGGAAGACTCAAGAAGCAAGCAAGCAGTTCTGCTCCACATGGAGCACCTACAGTGCTGACTGCACAGACTGCAGGACAAGGCAAACAAACCTTTGTCTGCTCCACACTCTGCTTCTACGGGGTTATGGCTCCTTAACTCTCCTGCTTCAGGTGTTGAGGGAGCTTGGAAGAACTTTATTCATCCTTCCACAGCATGCTGGGATCAAGACAGCATGAAGCTGGCCACTTATCTCCTATTGCGTTTTTCAGACAGACTGGCCTCCATGAGAAAATGGCCTTTACACTTCCTTCTCTGTCACCCCCAGGTGACACTCCATACTCAAAGTAAGGGTTCATTTCTGCCCTCAGGAAAGAAAATATAGCTTGCCAAGATGATCTGTGTGCACTTCTGTTTTGCCAATGACTAGGCCTAACAGGAATGACACAGCCAGCAGGAAGATGAGCCCATAAGTGGATTGTATTGAACACAAAAAGGACATTCCATGAAGGATAGCTGGGGGTACAAGTCAAATACATGCAATTGACATTACCCACACCAATCCAAACAAAGACATCAACCCACCAACAATAGGTGGAACAAACAAAGAGCCAAGGTTTCCCATAGTTGGCAAGGGAAACAGACAGATCAGGAAGTTGAATACATAAGATAAAGGTGCCCACATGGCAGCTCTCACCCATCTAGCCCGTGTTTACAAAGGCCTAAACAGACTGGGGCCCAGCTCCAGGAGAGTCAGGAGATCTGACCTGAACAAGGAAGCTCT